TTTTTTTTTTTTTTTTTTTTTTTTTCCCCGAGACAGAGTCTCACTCTGTCACCAGCCTGGAGTGCAGTGGTGCGATCTTGGCTTACTGCAACCTCCGCCTCCTGGGTTCAAGCGATTCTCCTGCCTCAGGCTCCCAAGTAGCTGGAACTACTGGCGCACGCCACCATGCCCAGCTAGTTTTTGTATTTTTAGTAGAGATGGGGTTTCACCATGTTGGCCAGGATGGTCTCCATCTCTTGACCTTGTGATCCACCCGCCTTGGCCTCCCAACATGCTGGGATTATAGGCATAAGCCACTGTGCCTGGCCATTTTTTTTTCTTTTTCTTTTGGAGACACAGTCTCACTCTGTTACCCAGGCTGGAGTGCAGCAGCATGATCTCGGCTCATTGCAACCTCTGCCTCCTGGGTTCAAGCAATTCTCCTGCCTGAGCCTCCCGAGTAACTGGGATTATAGATGTGCACCACCATGCCCAGCTAATTTTTTAATTTTTAGTAGAGACACGGTTTCACCATGTTGGCCAGGCTGGTTTTGAATTCCTAACCTCAAATGATCCACCTGCTTCAGTCTCCCAAAGTGCTGGGATTACAGGCATGAGCCACTACGTCTGGCCAAGACCACATATACAATTCTACTTATTTGATTTTTTTTTTTTTTAAAGACAGAGTCTCACTCCGTTGCCCAGGCTGGAGTGCAGTGGTGCGATCTCAGCTTACTACAACCTCTGCCCCGCAGGCTCAAGCAATTCTCCCACCTCAGCCTCCCAAGTAATTGGGACCACAGACACATGCCACCACGCATGGCTAAGTTTTTTGTATTTTTGGTAGAGATGGGGTTTCACCATGTCGCCTAGGCTGATCTGGAACTCCTGAGCTCAAGCAATTCTCCCCACTTGGCTTCTCCAAGTGCTGGGATTACAGGTGTGAGCCACTGTGCCTGGTCTCAATTCTACTTATTTGAAATGCCCAGTGGATAAAGCTATAGAGACAGAAAGTAGATTAGGGGTTGCCCAGGGTTGGAGAAGATGGCAGAGTGGGGACCGAAGAGTAATGGCTAAGGGGTATAGGATTTCTTTTTAGGGTAATGAAAACATTCTAAAATAGACCATGGTAATGGATGCACAACTCTGGAAATACATTAAAAGCCATTGAATTTTACACTTTAAATGGGTGAAGTGTATGGTATGTGAATTGTATCCCAAAAAGCTGTTAAAAAGAAATAGTTGATGAATAAACAAATGAACAAATAAATATAGGATATAGTTGTTGACTCTTGTTCTTAGAGTTACTTAGAATCATGGACTATTAGAATCATGTAAAATGCCAGACAAGGAACATTCACTCACACATTCACTCATATACTGATTCATTCAGCAGGCATTTATGGAGTGTCTGGCATATATCTAGGTACTATGCTAAGTGATAGTGATTAAGCAGCAAACAAGATTACTATGGATCCTACTTGCCTCTTGGGACATACACACTCACACTTATGGTTCCTTTTCTTTATTTAGAAATTCTCTAATTATTGTCATACCTTCATTCTTAACTTCAGTATTTTTTATTTTTTATTTTTTTAAGACGGAGTCTCACTGTGTCGCCCAGGCTGGAGTGCTCTGTGGCCCAGGATGGAGTGCAGTGGAGCAATCTCAGCTCACTGCAAGCTCCGCCTCCCAGGTTCACGCTATTCTCCTGCCTCAGCCTCCCGAGTAGCTGGGACTACAGGCACCCACCACCACGCCCGGCTAATTTTTCTTTCTTTCTTTTTTTTTTTTTTTTTTAGTAGAGACGAGGTTTCACCATGTTAGCCAGGATGATCTCAATCTGACCTCGTGTTCCATCCGTCTCAGCCTCCCAAAGTGCTGGGATTACAGGTGTGAGCCACCATGCCTGGCCTTAAGTTCAGTCTTGAAGGATGCTGAGTTTATCCCCCCAGATTTTGGGGCTGAATCTTCCTTAAAACGATCTGAGCCCAGGCTGACTGCAGTGGCTCATGCCTGTAATCCCAGCACTTTAGGAGGCCTAGATGGGCAGATCATTTGAGGTCAGGAGTTTGAGACCAGCCTGGGCAACATGGTGAAACCCCATCTCTACTAAAAATACAACAACAACAACAAAAAAATTAGCCGGGCATGGTGTGCACACCTATAATCCCAGCTACTCAGGAGGCTGAGGCAGGAGAATCACTTGAACCCGGGGAGAGGCGGGGTGGAGGTTGCAGTCAGTCGAGATTGCACCACTGCACTCCAGTCTGGGTGACAGAGTGAGATTCTGTCTCAAAGAAAACAAACAAACAAAAAAATTTTTTTAAATTAAATGATTTCTGCCCAAAAGGGAACGATCATGGAAATTTAAAGCTAACTCCACTTGGCTGCTTTTAAATTACAAGAGATAATCTCCCATACTTTTTTTTTTTTCAGTGAAGAAAAAAATATCCAAATCTCCTTTGGATAGCAGATAAATTAAAATTATAAAACCTGAACTGCAGCTTTTACCAGTGGCCAGTTGCCATCAGGAAAGAAAAGTATCCACTGAATAATGAGGGAGAAAAAACCTACACAATTTTGAGTGTGTGATCACTAAACAGGTTTCGCACGTGACCAGCAAAACTAGGTCATGAGCTGTGAGCTGCAAAACAGCCTGCCCCACCTTGAGGCTGGCGTCTGTCACTGGGAGCGATGGAGCTCCCTTCTTCCAAGTCAGCAGAGGAGTTGGCTGGCACGTTTCAAAAGGAGTGAGGTGATTCTTGGTGCAGTGCAGCCAGTGCAGCATTGTTTTCAGTGGGTCAAACCACAAAGCAGAAATGATGCCATGACACAGGGAGGTGGGAGCATGAGGAGACTCTGAATCTCCTTGTGCTCCTGATCCCCCATCTCTGGATTCAGGCTGACTGCAGTTCTAGTCCCGCCACTGCTACTTACAAACTATCAGTATATTCGCACAACATTGTCACCCTGTCTGAGCCTCAGTTCCCACTTCAGTGAAGTGAGCAGTAACCGTACCCTTCCCTCAACTGGGCTTCATCACTTTCACGCCTTTTTTTTTTTTTTTTTTTGAGACCCAGTCTCACTCTGTCCCCCATGCTGGAGTGCAGTGGCACAATCTCGGCTCACTGCAACCTCTCACTTGACCTCTGCCTCCCAAGTTCAAGTGATTCTCCTGCCTCAGCCTCCCAAGCAGCTGGGATTACAGGTGCCCACCACCACGCCAGGCTCATTTTTGTATTTTTAACAGAGACGGGGTTTCACCATGTTGGTCAGGTTGGTCTCGAACTCCTGACCTCAGGTGATCCATCCACCTTGACCTCCCAAAGTACTGGGATTACAGGCATGAGCTACTGCGCCCGGCTGCTTTCACACCCTTCTGGTTTCCAACTGCAACCCTCTTCATCACAAGTCACTGCCAACCCTTGCCCCCTCTTTTCTCAGAATATCCTCTAGGGGTACGTGTGGGAGTGTGGGTGTGTATTTGTGTGTGTGTGTTTTGTTGTTGTTGTTTACCTAATCCTCTTACCACCCTCCAACTCTGTCTTCAGAGCCGGAGGCTCCCCACAGAAACCACAAAGGATCATTTTAAAGGGAAGTAAAAGTTTTTACAAGGATTAGGTGAGATAGTTAAGGTAAACAAATTTAAATAGAACAGTGAAGGTAAATGCATTCAATATGATTTAGGGAAGGTAAGGCATTCTTCAATAAACATGATTTTTGCTACACGTCCATTTGCAACCCTAGCTCAGGGTTTTTTTTTTTGGAGATGGAATCTTGCTCTGTCGCACAGGCTGGAGTGCAATGGCGCAATCTCTGCTCACTGCAACCTCCGCCTCCCAGGTTCAAGTGATTCTCTTGCCTCTGCCTCCCGAATAGCTGGCACTACAGGCAAGCACAACCATTCCTGGCTATTTTTTTGTATTTTTAGTAGAGATGGAGTTTCAACATGTAGGTCAGGCTGGTCTTGAATACCTGGCTTCAGGTGATCTGCCTGCCTTGGCCTCCCAAAGTGCTGGGATTACAGGTGTGAGCCACCATGCCTGGCCTAGCTCAGGTTTTGAGTTAAGTAAGTAAAAGTTAACTGAGGCATAGTCCAATATACTTCATGTAGTTAAAAATTGTCAATGATGGTGAAACCCAACACAGAAATTAGGGGCTTCTAACTATTTCTGCCAAGTCTTGGTTCTGGACTGATCTTGAAAAGCTTCTTCTGGCATAAATAATATAATGTGCCCTTCCTTCAACTGGGGCTTTATCACCTTTATGCCCTTCCGGTCCCCAACCTCAACCCTCTTCATCACAAGTCACTGCCAACCCTTGCCCCCGATATGGTTAGGCTTTGTGTTCCCACCTGAATCTCAACCCGAATTGTAATCCCCAGGTGTTGAGAGGGAGACCTGGTGGGAGGTGATTGGATCACATGGGCAGTTTCCCCCATCTGTTCTTGTGATAATGAGTGAGTTCTCAAGACATTTGATGGTTTTATAAGTGTCTGGCATTTCCCCTGCCTGTGCTTCTCTCTCTGGCCACCATGTGGAAAAGGTCCTTGCTTCCCCTTTGCCTTCTGCCATGATTGTAAGTTTCCTGAGGCCACGTGGAACTGTGAGTCAATTAAATCTCTTTTCTTTATAAATTACACAGTCTTGGGTAGTATCTTTACAGTAGCGTGAAAACATAAAAATGCAGCCCCTCTTTTCTCAGAATGTCCTCTAGGGTGTGCGTGTGTGTGAGGGGGGATTGGAGGAGTTTGGGCTTTTTCTTCTTCTTCATCTCGCTACCCTCCAACTCTATCTTCAGACCCTGAGGCTCCCCACAGAAACCACAAAGGATCATTTCGCTTCCCTTTGGAAATGCAGAATCTATTATGTTTTGGGGCACATCCCAAATAGACCCCTCTCCCACTGCCAGTTTCTTCCCTAAATGCTCCTTTTTTTCATTTGTATACACTTCAGGTTTCTCTAGGAAGCAGTGGCCCACAGAGAGCTGAGTTGGTTTCAAGAATCCAGGAGACGTACCTGGCTGCTTTCTGAGTGAGCTCCAGCGGGAAATCAGGACACAGTAATTGCAGCAAACAGTGATATTCTTTCATGGTCAGCAAATCTGAAGTGGAAATGGAGAGGAACACATTAGGTCTCTGCATTTCAAGTCACTGCCCTCTTTTTGTTCATTTCATGAGTTTCAGACCTGGTCTTGGTAGAGCTGCTCTTTTAAAAGCAAGTCAGTGTTAAGGGTATGCTAATCTCTAACCTCCAGGTGTGAGATTTTTAAGATCAATATTTCTAGAAAGCTTTTCCTGGGTGGGAAGCATCCAGTTACAACATTTTGGCCAAAGGAGCTTCACTGGCATGAAAGGTGGTCGGGTGAAGAGAGCAAACAAGAGAGGCACCTTCATCAGCCTTCTTTGGGTTTCCCTGTATATAAAAATCTGGAAGAACAAGTCATTTCAAAATCGGTTAAATCTGCTGAAATTCTCTGGCATGGTAACATTTCCCACCACATGCCCAAAGACCATCCACAGAATATCTGGAAGCAGTACTAAGGCAAACAGTCTTGCTGTGTATGGAGGAGAAGAGTATAGCATAGAAACCCACAGACCTCATTACTCTGTCATCCAGTACTGCAGCAGGCTGGCTTCTTTTGAATGCCTGAACACAAATCTGGTCATCCTATTATAGGAAGCCAAGACAAAGGTCCAAGATATACAGTCAAGGTAACCAAATGATTCCTGATATACAGAAGCAGTGCTTTGGGAGAGGTGAGCCAGGATGAGGCTCTGTGGTCCAGCAGAGAACCTAGAGAGGCGAATCTCAGAGAGATTTATAGGATTCCAAGGGAGAAGAAATACACTGATGCTTAAGTTATTTTGTTGCTGCATGTACTGAAGGCAAAAGATTTTAGATCAGCCAAGGAGTAAGAATGTGCAAGTATTATCATATACCAAAGCATTTCGAATATGGAAGGGCCCAGTGATGCTAAAGTGAGAGCAATCCACCCCGAAGCCTGCCTAACTGGGAGGAGGATGAGTGAGAGGAGGGAATCCAGAGGGCATGGCTACATTTGGGGAATGAAGATGATGATCATAGGCACTTGGTTTCTTTGGATCTAAGTTAGCCCAAGCCACAGGAATCCAGATCTTCTGCCCCTGTTAGTTCGGTTGATGCTTTTCCAAGACAAAAACCCCAAATCTCCAGGGAAAGGCCTGGGTTCCTAGTACTTTTTCATCAAAGCTCAATTCAAGGTGGGGACAGAGAGTTTGACTAACCACACTGCCAAAGTCAGAAACACCAAAGGAACAGACTCAGCGTCAATATAGGTCAAAGGATCAAGATGGTTTTGTGGCACTCTCCTCTTCCCACTCGCCTGACCTCGGGCACAGCCTGGCAGGAGGTCCTGTTCTTCAAGGGAGGGAGTCATCGCCACTCGTGGTCTCAGGCTTGGGGTGAGGAAAAAGGTGAAGGGAAGGGAGAAAAGCCACTGAATCTAATGTGTTCCCACTTTATTCTCACTCCAGAACTCCCCATCTAGAGAGAAGAGAAGAGTGATTTCTGGCAGGGCAGGGAGTAAATAAAGGAAAGTTCTATCTTTGAATCATCAATGCTTTTCTAGGCTAAACTTTGGTGGATATATCTGATAGCATTCTTAGGGAGAGTCAGAGTGTTTCATAGGAACTTACATTTATCCCCCAAATTACCTACAAAATATCCTTGGGAAGATAACAGAATGAAGGAAAATGAAAAAATGAGAGAGAGAGAGAGAGAGAGAGAGAGAGAGTTACTTGATTAAGAAAGACAATGCTAGGAATCAACATTAGCTTCCTGGTTTCTAGACCCTAGGCCCTCTTCAGGTTTTTGATATTATTCTAACTCATGTACTTCAAATAGTTGCTTCTGAGGACAGAAGAATGATTTACAAAAATCACTGTGTGCTTCTCTAATACAACAAAAGCTCTTAAAAATATGAAAAACAGAATACATCCTGCTCACCACTTCTGGAACTTGACTCTTCTAAATGTTAAGTGAGGACAGTAGTCAGATAAAGAGATTAATGAAAATGTAAGCAAATAAACAACTTTTAATTGTGGAGAGAGTAGTTATATTGTTGTTATTATTCTTCCACGCAGACTCTGTGTTGGGGATGTGGAGAGAGGAGTTCTAATTCTACTGAAGTAGTGACCAAATAATATTAAGGGCAGATGATTTCTGCTACTTCGAGACACTCCTCAGCTGTTGTTCAGTGGGTATTGAGAGAACTATGAGTGGTAAGACTCGTTTCAAAATCAGAATACTGATAAGCATATGGGAGCTTGTTCCCTTTCTGCTCCATAGGCTAGGATTCAAATTTTGGCTCTGTGATTCACCAGGTATGTAATCTTGGGCAAATTGCTTAACATCGCTAAGTCTCAGTTTCTCATCTGTAAAATGCAAGTGATACCGACACTTTTCAGGGTTAAAGTCAATTGTAAGACAGATGATGTCTATAAAGTGCTTAGCAGAATGTCTAGAACTTAGTAACATCAAACAGTGGGAGTTTGTTTTGGTTCTGTTTTTTAAATTCTGGAGGCAAGGAGAAGAGAGGAGGAAGGTATTTGTTGCTGAGGGTTTTTTTCATTTTAAATTTTAATTAATTAATTAATTAATTTTGAGATGGGGGGCCTCTGTTACCCAGGCTGGAGTACAGTGGCATAGCTCACTGCAGTCTTGAACTCCTTAGCTCAAGCGATCCTCCCGCCTCAGCCTCCCAAGTAGCTGGGACTACAAGCATATGCCACCAAGCCCTACTCATTTAAAAAATTTTTGTAGAGACGGGGTCTCGTGCTGTCACCCAGGCTAGTCACAAACTTCCTACCTCAGCCTGCCAAAGTGCTGGGATTACAGGCATGAGCCTGGGTGTTGCTGAGTTTGGACATTTAAACACCTAAAAGTGTTCTGCCTTGAAAGTTCTCTGTTGGGTTGCCTGAGCCAAATCCATTTTGGACACTCTCCTGCAGTGGCCACTCACTGCCTATTCCCATGTGCCTGCTCTGTTCCAGGCTCCCCATTATGAAGAACAAGCTAGCAGTCCCCCTAGCTTCTGTGACCTGCATTTGGGCACCAGTTCACCCTAATGCTCCTGTCTATTTTGGGTCCTTTAGATCTTAGAACTGTCCAAGATCTCAAAGGCCCTTCTCGCAGCCCTTTGTGCTCCAGCAATAACTGTAAAGAGAGTGAGTAGTCATGGAGATCTGTGCTCAGCTCTTGAATTAACTCACTTAGGCTGGGTGCAGTGGCTCATGCCTGTAATTCCAGCACTTTGGGAGGCCGAGGCAGGTGGATCACCTGAGGTCAGGAGTTTGAGACAGCCTGGCCAACGTGGCGAAACCCCATCTCTACTAAAAATACAAAAATTATCCCAGTATGGTGGCAGGTGCCTGTAATCCAGCTACTCGGGAGGCAGGAGAATCACTCGAACCTAGGAGGCAGAGGTTGCAGTGAGCTGAGGTCACATCACTGCACTCCAACTTGGGCAACAGAGAAAGACTCCATCCCCCCCAAAAAAAAAAAATAAAAAAATTTAAAAAATTAACTCACTTAGCCTTCACAGCATACTACCTTATGAAGTAGACTCCATTATTCCCAGTACCATTTCACAGATGAGGATGAGAAAGTTTAGAGGGTGAAATAAGCTGGTGAGCAAGGAGAGGAGGGTCCAGGTTAGGGGAGAGGAAGGGGACCTGTCTTCCCTGAGCAAGATCTCAGGCTCGAAGGGAGAGAAGGGAAGCTGATGGCAGGAGGGGCTTAACAATAACACAGTTAACATTTATTGAGCACTTCCTCTCGGGGAGGCACTGATCTAAGGGGTTTACATATGTTACTTCACTAATCTTCACTACTATTACCCTCATTTCACAGAAACAAAAACTCAGATTGTGCACACTTAAGAGGTAGAACTGGAATTCAAACCCAGGCAGTCTGGCTCCAAAGCCCACTCAGCTAACATTGTCAGCACCTTGATCTTATCAGCTATAATGTGTGAGGCTTAAGAGCTTGTTTTCTCCTCTAAACTAACTGCAGGAACTAAATAGCTCCAGATGAACTGGATCAAGGAGACAATTCAAGTGAATTGACATTTTCCACGTAAGAAACCGAGTCTTAATGTTCTAATTACTGTCAACAGCGAAGACTGAGGCTCCAGCACAGCAGCCTCAGTTAGGCCAGAGGACATGGGCTGGGGGACACCTGTGCTGATGGCCACACTGTGGTCTCTCATCCCCATCCTCATCTCATGCCCGCCACTCTTCTACCTGGCACGTGCAGGGGAGTTAAGTATTGTGTATCAATAGACACCTTCTCTAGAAATCTCCCCACAATTAGAAGAGTGTCAGCCAGTAGGTCCTGCAAGTTCAAAGGCAAAGACATAATAAGGTTTTGGTGCAAGATCAAAATCAGAACACTCTCCACAAATTTGTGTGTCTCCTTTCATGGGTGGTCAGACTGCCAAACTTTCTTCTTCTAAGCCTTGCACTAGTCTCACCAATTGTGTGGCTGGCTCCAGACCAGAGGTGTTTTACGCCGTTGATCCTATCTTCTCCAGAGGCAGCACAGCACAGCATTATAGTTAATAGCATGGACTTGGGAGTCAGATTGTTCGGGTCCAAATCCTAGCTTTGCCACTGACTTCAAGTTACTTGACCTTTAAGCTCTCCATGCCTCAGTTTCCCCATTTATGAAATGACAGTATGAACACTGCAGGGTTGTTGTGAGTTAATGTAAAGTGCTTAGAACAGTGTCTGACCCATCATAAGGGCCATCTGTTAGTACTTGCTATTATTATTTTAGAAATAAAGAAACTAGGGCTCAGTGAGGTGTAATCATTTTCTCAAGGAAACAGCTAGGAAGAGGGCTGAGATTCAGACCTAGGCCTAGCACAGGCTCTGAAGGTCCTGCAAGTTCCACTCTAGTAGGTGGGAGCCAGCTGGTTTGTGAAGGACTTCTGATGATAGGATTATTCACACTAGATGACTAACAGACTTTATATCTAAGTTAAACATACAGATACCCTTCAGGCAGGCCACTTTAAACAGCGCAGGGCAGTTGGGCAGGGCAGCTATATTAGTGCCAAAC